TTTGTTGATTGTTTCCTTTGCAGTGCAGAAGGTTTTTATCTTGATGAGGTCCCAATAGTTCATTTTTGCTTTTAATCCCCCTGCCTTTGGGGATGTGTCAAGTAAGAAATTGCTGCAGCTGAGGTCAGAGAGGTTTTTTCCTGCTTTCTCCTCTAGGGTTTTGATGGTTTCCTGTTTCACATTCAGGTCCTTTATCCATTTTGAGGTTTTTTTTGTGAATGGTGTAAGAAAGTGGTCTAGTTTCATTCTTCTGCATGTTGCTCTCCAGCTCTCCCAGCACCATTTGTTAAAAAGACTGTCTTTTTTCCATTGGATATTCTTTCCTGCTTTGTCAAAGATGAGTTGGCCATACTTTTGTGGGTCTAATTCTGGGATTTCTATTCTATTCTGTTGGTCTGTGTGTCTGTTTTTGTGCCATATGCTAACTAATTTGGATGTAAATTTAAAAAATAAAAAGTAAAACTAAAAAAGAAATAAAATAAAATAAAAAATAAATAAAAGCTGTTAGCATGGTAAGGCCCCTACTGACCTCACTGGCCATCCGTCTGTCTATGTTTGCCTGTTCCTACTTCTGATGCTGTGTCAGGACTTTCACACCCTTGCACATGCTGCTTCCACTGTCTGTGATACCTTCCTCCCATCATTTCACTCGTCTTTGAAGGGTCAGCTCATATATCTCTTTTTCTATTTTATAATCCTTTCTGGATTATCCCTACCTCGGGAGGCTTGTCACTCACTCCTTTGTGCATCCCTGATACCCTATAGGACTTCTCCTTTACTCCCAGATTGCTTTATTTTCTTTACATGGTTATCTCCTGCTATTTCAAAGGTAGGGGCTAGGTCTTACCTCATGTTTCTATTGCCAGCATGTGGGAAAAAGTAAAAAACAACACAAATAAAACAAAAACAAAACATGATCAGCTTGTAATCATTGGCATTGGCATTGGCATTTTGGTCTGTCTTATTAACAGAACAGTCTGAACTACTGATGAGTGTTGCACTTCAGTGGCAATGTTCCTCTAACAAATTCCCATAGAATCTCACCTTGTGTAATTCCTGAGGAATTTCAAAAATTCTTGGTAATAATTGGAAAATTATTATTTATAGGAAAATTGTTGGATGAGATACATTAGCCTTCTCTGTATCAGAAATTGTAAGTTGAAGGTTTTTGTTTGTCACAACAAATGAATATATATGAAATCTTTCTCGTTGACAAGTAGATTGAAAATACATAATGAGGAAATGGTCACATTTTTTTTCTTCACCATCTCTTCATGCTGCTTAACATAATTATTATTTTCCACCAAACTTGGCAAGAAAGGATTCTGAAAACTTATTTATTTATTTTGAGACACTCTCTTTGCCAGTGGTGGCCACTTGTGATCAAAGTCCTGTTGCATTAGACAATGTTTTGGAAGATTGAATTGTAAGAAGCCCAGTGATGCATATATTTGAGATTTAGAATTGTTTTTTCCTTTTAGTAATTATTTTGCTGTGGACACTGCTTCTGCCATAGCCATTGCTCTGATGACATTTGGCACTATGTATCCCATGAGCGTGTACAGTGGCAAAGTATTACTGCAGGTAAGGGTCCTTTTTCAATGCACATGCTTAATATTAGCCAGTTTTTTCTACCAGAGAATAAAATTATATGTTCTCTTCTACCAGATTATAAAATTTTTAGCTATTAGAAGGCCCTGTTAGAAATGAACTCAAACAGTGATATCTGAAATCTATACAGTAAGAAGCAGAGGAAATTCTCTTGGCCCATAAAATATGTACAGATCTTCCTGTATAATATAAGACAAAATCAGAAGCTAAAAATATTTTGCCCTTAATAATGTTTCAAGTAAAAACAGTGTTACTTAGAAATATTTTTTACCTATTTATTTTCCCGCAATAAATATGCTTTGGCTATTATATAGTTTGGTTGTGATTGTTTTCTTATTTCCTGTCATTGAATCAGTGAGACTTCTAAATTTCAAACTTAAAATCGAAAATGACAAATTACTCCTTATTTAAACAATAGAAACACCTGTAGACAAGGCCCTGAATGCAAAGGTAGTTTCCCAGGGATGGATGTGTATGTAAGCACTGCTTTCCTTGTGTCTTACCCTCATGCCCTTTCTAAAACTTAGGGGCAGTAGTTTTATCTCCAGAAACTGTAGTAACAATAAGATAATAGTTGTGTCATGCTGTGCCATACAAAAGATTTTTACTTGGTTGGCTGATTCTTCAAGAGTTGTTTGGGTGTAGAGATAAAAAATAAGCATGGGCTGATGGTTGATGTTGTCCCACTAGTGGAGGCAACTGAAACCTCTCTTCCCTAAATCATGATAGGCTGTCAAACAAAGCAAAGGCTGGTATAAAATCCAACTTTTTATTTTCAGGACCACTGTGCAAAAATTCTTTTATCTCCGAAGTTATTCATATTTTATTTTATTTTTTTCTCCAGACAACGCCACCCCATGTTATTGGTCAGTTGGACAAACTTATCAGAGAGGTAAGGTAGAATAGAAAATAAAATCCTTTTAAATTATAATTAGAGAATGGAAAGAATGGGTATAAATGATACTTTACTCAGCCCTATCTCTATTTTATTTTAGGGGAGTTTGTGTTCTTTATACTAAATAACACAGTAGTAGATAAAAATAGTGACAAAAGTATAAAAATTTGAGGAATTGCTCAGTCTGGAAACTTGAAGTAAATGTGGAAGGGAAGGTAATGGTCTAGAGACCACACTACTAGCTGTGTTAATGCTATGGTTTTTATGCGTCTATATTCAAATCTAGGATTTTGAAAGAAGTCAAAAACTACTTTTACATGTTGATTGCTTCATCACTTAACATTGATTTGTGAGTTTAGATTTTGTATTGTATAAATACCCACCAGCTTACTAATTGAAGGAATAAGATAATGTAATTATTTGGATTTTGAGAATATTTCAAACTATTGATTGTTGGTATCACAAAGGCCACTATTTATCAATATAGCTGGCTGTTTGTCTCAGCCTGTGTTATACCAATGGGACATACACTATATATCTGGTCTTGGAATTTCCTCTTGGTCCACATTCACATAACATCCTGTGTTGTGCAGAAATTTGCTAAAAGGAAGAAATGATAGAGAAGAGTCCCCAAAAGGGGGAAAAAATCTAATACCACCAGTGCTGGATATAAATATGTGACATACTCACAAAATGAAAAGAACCATCCGCTGTCGAACAAGGTGGTGGTGAGGGTAGGTGGTAAACACCTGATTCTAAAAGGATTGGGCCAGACGAGAAACGGAACACAAGGCCTTGGCTCACTACTGAACAAGTAAAATGATACCTTGAGTGGTCTAGGACTTCTCTTGGCTAATGAGTGTCTTCATGCAGGATTTGGCCAGGTCATTTCTAGGCTTAGGTCAAGTCCATATTGTGACTGAACTGTGTTGGATATGTCAAATATAAACAGCCCAGTTTCTTTGTTTTTGATTAGGTATCTACCTTGGATGGAGTTTTAGAAGTTCGAAATGAGCATTTTTGGACCCTAGGTTTTGGCTCACTGGTATGTTTTCCATATTAATATAGTTGTAATTTAAAACATAGTTTATATTAACTAACTTGGATGTAGATTAAACAATAAAAAATTAAATAAATAAGTGAAACATAGTTTATAATTTTTAAAACTAAAGAAAGTACTTCTTCAAATTAAAAAAAATGTTTTAATGTTTATTTTTTGAGAGAGAGAGAGACAGACAGACAGAGCATGAGAGGGGGAGGAGCAGAGAGAGAGGGAGACACAGAATCTGAAGCAGGCTCCAGAATCCAAGCTGTCAGCACAGAGCCCGATGCGGGGCCTGAACTCCCAAACTGTGAGATCATGACCTGAGCTGAAGTCAGATGCTTAACCAACTAAGCCACCCAAGAGCCCCAACTTCTTTAAATTTTTATAGAGCCTCTGATTACCATTTCTGTTTAATAGAGTCTTAAATGTAGATGGATTCAGTAACCTAATTGGTATTAGTTGAGGGATATTTTTCTTTTATTTTTTTTTCAAACTACTGTTAATGGTCTTTTTTTTTTAAAGGTTTTTTTTTTTTTTTAATGTTTATTTTTGAGAGACAGGGAGAGCGTGCATGCGTGGAGGTGGGGGCACAGAGAGGGAGACACAGAAATCCAAAGCAGGCTCCAGGCTCTGAGGTGTCAGCACAGACCCCCATGTGGGACATGCACTCACAAACCATGAGATCATGACCTGAGCCAAAGTCAAGACGCTTAACCAACTGAGCCACCCAGGCTCCCCCCCATGTTTTTGATATTAACCTTAAAAATAAGACCAGTTATTTTACTAGCAAAAATGAGTTTATTTTGGAATAGCAGAGAATTGCAATTCGCGATAAGCAAGCTACAACAAAACAATAGGCAAGTGTGAAGAACAAAGCAGAGGAACAGTCTGCTATAGAGGAAAGGGGGAAGTTGAAAGGACTGTTACAGATGAAAAATCCAGTGAAGTAAACCAGGAGTTCAAGTGTAGTGGCTTTCACTGCCTGAGTTGTATTAGTCTCTCATTGGCTGGGCTTTTGTCAGAGAAGGAGGAAGAAAACCTCTTTCCTCCTGTTGATGTTATAAAGAAGTAGCTAAAGTAGAATGGACTTTACCTCTCTTCCTGTTGAGTCTACAATTGACTCGGGGTAGTAGGGGTTGAGAGACCCTCCCTTTTGGCCTCCCATCTCCCATTTTAATAAGGTTTTCCTTTTATTAATTTTTGCGAATCCAGTCTGGACCTATTACCAGAGAGACAGTTATGGCATGGTTCCATTCCTGTGTCAGGAATGATGAGGAAAATACAGAAAAGTACTCTGGAAAAAAATTTAATCACCATAATCCCATCATATAGAGATGCCTGCCAGGATGTTTTCTTATTTATACTTACCTATTTTCTCTCCTTAGAAAACGAAACTATGTGGGGCCTCTGGGTGGCTCAATCGGTTGAGCGCCAACTTCAGCTCAGGTCATGATCCCCCAGTTTGTGGGTTCCAGCCCTGCGTTGGGCTCTGTGCTGACAGCTCGGAGCCTGGAGCCTGCTTTGGATTCTGTGTCTCTCTCTCTGCCCCTCCCCTGCTCATGCTCTATCTCTCTCTCTCTCAAAAATAAATTAACATTAAAAAAAAAAATGAAACCATGCAGTTTATATTTTGCTCTTTTCACTTAATATATCGTTTACAGTTTTGTATGTCACCAAATAATTACTTTTTTGGTCAAATATTTTTTTCTCTCTTTTTTAAAATTTTTGAATGCATATTTGTTTCTGAGAGGGAGAGAGAGAGACAGAGTGCAAGCGGGGAAGGGTCAGAGAGAGAAGGAGACACAGAATCTGAAGCAGGCTCCAGGCTCTGAGCTGTCAGTACAGAGCCTAACGTGGAGCTTGAACTCACAGACTGCAAGATCGTGACCCAAGCCGAAGTCGGACGCTTAACTGACTGAGCCATCCAGGGGCCCTAATTTTTTTTCTGTTGAGTGTGACTTGATCTTTGCCTAGATACTCCAAGACTTTTTTTTTTTTTTAAGTCCAGTAAGTAAGTTCACTGGACTATGTCTTGGTGTTGGTCATTTTGGGTCAGTTACTCCAGGTTTGCATTAGAGCCTTGCAGTAATGTTACTGCAAAAAACTTGTTTTATCTTTCAGGAAAGTTTTCTTTAATTGTAATTATTAATATTTATTTTGTTCTCTTGCTTTTAGTATCTTCTTTGGGATCTACTATTGTAAGCACATTGGGTCTTTTATATTTATTTTCTTTCAGTTCCTTATTATATCTTCAGTTCCTTTGATTTTTAAAACTAGCCTTCTCATCGCCTTTTATTCTCTCACAGTAGACCTGTATGTTTATTTCCTTTTGTATTCGTTCTAGTCTAGTCTTCATTTCTTTTTCCTTTTTTTTTTAAGTTTTTTTATTTTGAGAGAGAGCAAGTGAGCGAGGGGCAGAGAGAGAGAGGGAGAGAGAATCCCAAGCAGGCTCCACACAGTCAATGCAGCGCCCCATGTGGGGCTCGAACTCACAAACCATGAGATCATGACCTTTGCCAAAATCAAGAGCAGGATGCTCAATGGACTGACCCACCCAGGCGCCCCTAGTCTGGTCTTCATTTCTCAAGTGATTATTTTTCTTGTTGTTGTCTCATTTTTGAGGTATTTTTTTTTTAATGTTTAGTTTTGAGAGAGAGAGAGAGAGAGAGAGAGAGAGAGAGAGAGAGAGAGAGAGAGAGAGATAGTGCGAGCAGGGGAGGGGCAGAGAGAGAAGACACAGAACCCAAAGCAGGCTTCAGGCTCTGAGCTGTCAGCACAGAGCTCAACATGGGGCTTGAACTCAGGAGCTGTGAGATCATGACCTGAGCTGAAGTTGGACGTTTAACCAACTGAGCCACGTAGGGCCCCTCATTTTTGAGGTTTTTGAATGCTGATTGATACTGTTTTATGTGTTTCATGTCTTTCAGCTTCTTTTGAAAAAGTAGGTCATAGTTCTCATGTGTTTTATAGGTGACTCTTTTGGGCAATCCTTTGTAATCTGTTTTTTTCTTACAATAGCTTTGTGTGCGATTTGGAATCAGTCCTTTTCTGTTTCTCCTTTTTATGCAAAATTGTTTTCCTGAATTTTAAAATAAGGAGTGGTTAGGGTAGTGTGTTTGAATTTATGGTTCTAAAGCTCCCTCTTCTGATTGAGTGTGTGAAGTGAAAGTTTTTTCTTTCTCCTGGGTCTTTACCTGCCATTTGTATCTGCTCTTTGTTATCTCTTGTTTCTGCTGTGTTGCTCAATTTGGATTCTGTTCCCAGTTGTTTTTTCTTAATGTGGGGCTTTCTACTGGCTGGGAGCTTGCTTGCTTACTTTGGAGAGCTCACAGGGCTTAGGCTGCTCCAGCTCTTCAGATCTTACGGCCAACTCAGTGTACTCCCCCACTATTGAAATGTGCAAATCCCCTCCCAGTTTCCCAGCTGCCTTTCTCAAATTTGCTGCCCTAGATTTCCATTGAGTACAGGTTAGCTGCTTTGAGGTTTTTAGGTCCATCAGATATCCTGTTGCTTCCTCCTTCACAGGTGCTGATACCTTGCAGGTCTCACACCTTAGGATTAGGGTGATTAGGATTTCTTGGGAAAACCATGTTATCTAGTTTCTTAATAGATGTTGTCCATAGGTTTTTGGGGTTGATGTCTTAATTTCGGTTTTTCTGGGCATATTTGGGGGAATTTCCAAAAAGTGCCACCATTACTGCTGTCTTTGAAGAATCCCAACATAATTTTTAATGGCTGCAGTTTTACATTATTTTAATATGCCCTCATTTACTTAATCACTTCCTTAATGGCATTCCATTTTTCCCTTATAAACAGAGCTAGGATGAACATTTTTGTGGAATCATCTTTGCACATACTTGTGATTATTCCTTAAGATTAATTTTTAGAAGTGGTTTTATGAGTCAAAGGATATTCACACTGGGGTGCCTAGCTGGCTCAGTCAGTATTGCATGTGACTCTTGAACTTGGGGTTGTGAGTTCGAGCCCCACATTGGGTGTAGAGATTAGTTAAAAATAAAATTTTTTTTAAAAAAAGGATATCCACATTTTCATGGCTTTTGATGCAGCCAATTACTTTCCAAAAATGGCTATACCAATTTACATTCCTTTAGGAACACAGTTTGTCTTTAATCATTCTTTTAATTTTACCGATCTTAATAACATAGAACGTAAGTGTTTATTTAGGTGGGTGGCTTATCCACACAAAGAATTAGGTCACCCAGCTGTTCAGAACATGGCCATCTAACCACTACCCCCAGGTAGTACCTAATTAAGACTAAGGAAAAATAAAGCAAGCTTTTGAGCTCCAAGAGTAGTTGTCACAAAAGCCATAAATTAATGCAAACACCATAGTCACAGCAGATTCTGTTCAAGCTCCTGCTCAGAAATGGTTTTCATTTATTTTAATTGCTTTAATTTCCGTAGCAGACTGGAAGAGGTTACAGTGTCTTTTATAGTTTTGTCTAGTGATAACTGTGAGATGGTAGTGGCCAAGAAAAGGAAAAAATCAAAGGTGACTGCATTTCTAAACATGCCTTGTCTTTCATAATAAACTAGAAATCAAATTCAAGCATTATAGATATTTTCTCCATCTTATGATTGACAGTCACTACTGTTAAAGTCATAGATTCAGACACATTGTAAATAAAACAACTACTTGTATTTGACTAATTTATGTGAAACTTCTTCTTCGTTATAGTTTTTTATCTTGAAAATCTGAGTTTATCTAGAAATCAGCATTGAGTCTGCTGGACATTTTGTTTCATTTTACTTACTATTTATTTTTACTTAAGTTTCATTATGCAAATGGTACCTGATTCTTAGAAAACTTGTAACTAAGTCAAAGAGAAGCGAACAAAAAACCTTTAATAATTATACTATCTAGAGATAAGTGTTGTCACTCTTGGCTATTTTTCTCTCTGTGTATGTTTTAAACAAAATAGAATCATTTAAAAACATAACGTATGATAAATATCTTTTCAGTAAACAGACTTCTAGCCATCATTGTAAAGCCTGGGGTTCTCTATCCTCATAGTAACCCAGGCTAGAAACCTTGAGATCATCTTTGATGAGTCAGTCCATCTCCCTCATCCACTACATCCAATTGGGTATCAAGTCCCCCCACATCTAACCCAGGGAAACTCATGAATCCATCTGTCCCTTTCTGATCCCATTATATTTGTCCTGTTGTGCCCTCTTCATTTCTAACCTAGAGTGTTGCAGTCATTTTTTACCTAATTACCAATCATTCATACCTACACTTTTTCTGAACTGTATTTCTGATTGATTGCTACTATTAAACTCCATATCATGATTTTTAGAGTTCTCTGCTAGCCTTTCTTTTAACCTTACTACCCGTTTTTCTTTCTTTTTTCCATCCTTCTTTCTTTTCTTTTCTCTCTTTCATTATTTTTCTGCCCCCTGAAATATTTGTACTTCTTTATATATTAGTAATACTGCTTATTCTGTCCGAACATGCCATGCATTTTAATTGCTGTTCTCTCAGCTTAGAATATCTGTCTCCACTTTTGAAAATTACATTTCACCATCAACCCTGGATCACATGCCATCTTCCTTACAAATCTTCCTTAATCTGAATTAGCAGCTCTCTTTTCTGCTCTTCCATTGCATTTTCTATATACGTTATATTCTGCATTAGGCTATAACATGCCTGTCTTCCTCCCACATATATATTTTTTTCATATATTTTAAAAAGACACATTTTATTTAGTCACATAATTTTATCAACTCTTCACATTGACAGTCACTGCTGAGTAGTCTTCAAGGAATATCAAGACATGATACTTTCTCTTGTTTAAAAGAAAACACCAAGTACAGTTACAGCCAAATCATAAATAAAATATTTATTTCTAGGGGAATTTTCAATGGTATAATTTTAAGTATCTCTTTCTTATGATGTTTCCCCTTTTAGGCCGGATCAGTGCATGTAAGAATTCGACGGGATGCAAATGAACAAATGGTTCTTGCTCATGTGACCAACAGGCTGTACACTCTAGTGTCTACTTTGACCGTTCAAATTTTCAAGGATGATTGGATTAGACCTGCCTTACTGTCTGGGCCTGTTGCAGCCAATGTCCTAAACTTTTCAGATCATCACATAATTCCAATGCCTCCTTTAAAGGGTACTGATGATTCAAACCCTGTTACGTCAACTCCAGCTAAACCTAGTAGTCCACCTCCAGAATTTTCATTTAACACCCCTGGAAAAAACGTGAGCCCAGTCATTCTGCTCAACACCCAAACAAGACCTTCTGGTTTGGGTCTTAATCATGGACACACACCTTACAGTAGTAGCTTGCTTAATCAAGGACTTGGAGTTCCAGGAATTGGAGTAACCCAAGGATTCAGGACTGGTTTTACAAATATGCCAAGTAGATACGGAGCTAACAATAGAACTGGACAACCAAGACCATGATGTACTGCAATCTAACTTATTTTTATGAGGAACATTGACTCCTTGATTCCATTTTATTTACTAATCCAGCTGTGCACCGACTGTTCAATCATTTACTCTAAATGATAGAGAATAGTAGGTTTGTTCACATTACATGAAACTGATGAAAGTACCTTTTTGTAAATGTGTTTGGGGCTGTGAGAACCTTCTAAATGTTATAGGGTTTGAAATTTAGGCTTCCTTTAGAAAGCGTGTTTCTCTGAATTTAAATTTTGTTATTTGCTTTTGTAGTTGATTGCAGTGTGATAGACATAAGAGAACCACTTGATGGAGCAAATCTGTCACATTATTAAAAGTATAATATTTTCTTCAATGAAATTTATAAACATGCTTCTTGAATAATGACATACATTTTAAGAATGGAAAAAAACATCCATTCTGAAAGTAAAAGTCTCTTTTATAGTTTTCCAAACTTAATTGCTACATTTTTTTTGAGGTCCTCTTGATTTATGTCTTGCAAAAGAAAGAAAAAGTTTTTATCAAAAATTTTAAAGCGTATTCTGTCTAGCATAATTTGAAATTTTTAATTATCAAAAATTTTTTAGTTTTTTCATTAAAATATTTCAGTACACTTATAAATAGTCTGTGGTTCTCAAAGTGTTTTATTTTGGTTAAATGAATACCAAATCCTTTGCTAACGTGCAGTGAAGGAATCCAGTTTTCTATATAACATATAATCAAATTGATATAATGAAACAAAAACAAACCCCCAAAGTACTGACATAATGATGGAATTTATCTTTTTTGTCACCTTTCCATTGGTTGACTTTACTCTCTCACTTTATTAACAAAATATATCAGATATATTACCAAAATATATAGAATTCCATGCATAATGTGGGATTTGATATCTTTTCAAAGTTGCATAAACAATTTGAGTTAACATTATATAATTTTACCAAAACATAATAGATCCTACGTTATAGAGTACAGTATTGTTATATCTGTAACAGGCAATTTCCAACTTATTTTGTTTTGCTTTGTCAAAATCATAAATTGTTAACTGTGATGAAGTGTGAGAATCGTGTGGATTATCTTGTTTTTTGATTATTTTCCAAATGCGGATGTTAAGGACTTGCCAACATGGTCAGTATTACTTATAAAAAGTATCACAAGCAGCAGTCACAAATTACCTGAGGTAATTTTTAAATTTAATCATGAGTTTTGTAATTAGAGTTTTAAAAAGGTATTTTGAGAGTGGCTTCGACTTTTCTGGAATCTAGTACTCCTGGAGATTTATGATTTTTCCAGCCATCAGCCAGCTATGTAGAGAAGATTTTTGTTTTTGTAGAATTTGCAAGTTGCTTCAATCAGCTCATCCTCTTTTAAATATGAGCAGCACTTCCAAATCTGATTTCACAGTGGAATAACATCCAAGAAGCCATCTTTGTCAAGCAGAGTTATAGTCATCCTGTAATAAGTGGCCATGTCCCAACTTTTGCTTGGTGAGGAGTTTGTCATTGTCTTTAACATCCGCAACCCTGTTCAGGCATGTGACCTACTGAAGAAATAGAGCCCACACTACCTTGACTTCTGGGAAAAATGAAATTTTGTAAATGTAATAAGGCAATCTGTTCCTTGTCCTTTGTCTTATGTTCTCCAACTATTAGTATACCTATTATTGGTCTACTATTACAGGGTGATTTCTCCTCCATTGACCTCATCTAAGTGGGTCACGCATGAAATCTGAAGAACTGCCATGTACTGAGTGATGATTAAGAGGTATGTGCTGCCCCCCTCCCCCCCACCGCCGCATGTCTTCTCCATTCTCATGGGATTTTTAAAGTGTACAGAACACAATTCTGCATGAAGTTAAATGCCTGTTTCCTCATCACCCATTCAGAGGCAACACCTGTGTAGTTGTCCCACCAAAGGTGCTTTGATACCCACCTGCACTGTTTAAGAAGTTTGCTGTGGGTTTTGGAGGAATTGGCTCTACTTCCTGAAATTCACTGATGCCAACTGCTATAGGTGACATTGGTCCATTCATGATTATATAAAGAAGTCTTATTTGCCAAGCTCTGGCCAGATTCTGGATATGAAAACAAGAAACTTGGCCAACCTAGGACTATGGGCAATAGCCTTGCTGGTAAATCTTGCCACAGAGTCACTTGAAGCCAAACAAGGAAGTTTGAATTGAATATTTGGCCCATTGTTTGTGATTAAGAGCAAGTTCTATGGAGTGTAATTAACCCCGTCTCAGAAAACGCCATACTGTAATGGAAAAACACTGGACTAGAAGTCAGGAGATTTGGATTCTGATCCTGACGCTGCCATTATGTAAGTATTTTGTTACCGTGGGCAAGTCATTTAACTTCTCTCTGCTTTATCATCTATAAAGTTGGGATGGGAATGGATTAGTTAATCTGTAAACTGTCAGCTCTAAATTTCCTTCCAGTGACTACCTCAGCATACAGGTCAAGTGTTACCTACACCAACACCCAAGCCATTAATTTGAGGTGCCATGAGTATAGAAGGTGAACTGCAGGTTAAACACCATTTAGGTTTTTGTTTATTTCACACTGGACTTAAATCTGTTAAGATTAAACAGATTTTTCTTGGACTTCTTTCTTTGTGGGGAAGGATTATTTTGGGTGGTATTGGCAAAAAGTTTAGGACAGGGTACCTTTAGCTTCCTCGGGTACAAAAGAATGGGGTACATTTTTCTTTCTTCCTTACTCTATAAAGATAAGAGTTGGAAATACATACATGTATAAGCAAATGGGGAGGTCCTGAATATCAAGCCTCTGATTAAGCTGCTTGTGAACTGCCAGTTTTTTGCTTGACTAAAGACTGCTGATCTCTTTGGGAGTCTAATCTGCTTATATGAGAAAATGCTTTTTACATCCCAAATTGTTTGAATCGCACTGTTTGAATAAAGAACGTACATAGAGTTTTCTCTCTGATCTTAAATAATTTTGGCTTGTTTTTATTCAATAGCAATTTATTGGTAATTTAATTTAGTTCAGCAAATACTTGTTGCGTACCCAGTATGTGCCAGGCACTGTACTAAGTAAATATGCATACAGTATATCAATTTTTGTGACCTATTCCCAAGACCAACGGGAATACAAGGATAAACGATATCACTTCAACTACATGGTAATCCTACTTGTGATGAGACACAGAATAGCTCATGTTGTCCAGCTGCCCCCAACTTGCTCCTCTTCTTTGCCTCATTTTCTTGGCATTCTCCTTTTATCCTCTTGCTTTTTTTTTCTTTTCTTT